ACAGTCGTCACAATGTTTTTTTTTGTTCTCGCCATATCAAAGGCACCCCGAACTTCAAAAGCTTACGTGTGCCTTTCTCCCATTGTCGCAGATGTTCAACGCATATTTTACATACTCGATAAAGCCACACTTTATCTTGGTGTCGAATTTCAATACCAAAGTAAGCAAAAAGCAAACGACTCACAGTGTTTCTAATCGATTTACGCTGATTTTCCAGTATGTATTCACCACAATCATAACAAAATAAACCAGGATCGTGAACACAACATCTGGATGTACTGGCCATAATGAAATAGTAACATAAACTTTATCGATTTATTGTAATAATGTCAATTATTTGCGAACAAACGGGTAAAAATTTCAAATGAGGGTAGTAGATAAACTAGAGCTAATGAGTTAAAATGACGTATGACAATATATTGTACATTACCTACTTTATCGACCATAGACACAAAAAAAGCTGCACCAAAAAAAAAATTATTTTGGTAGGCCTGTGTAATCTCTTAAACATCAAGATTTAGATTTAATTGACCAATTGAAATTGGATGATAAGATAATCAAAGTTTAGACCTACTGAAAAGATCCAGCGAGAAACTCAGTGGGCTATGAATACAAATAAATGATCCACAATGCATATAAGTAAGGTTGAATTAAAGCAATAAACCGGTGTTGTAAGTAATAATAGAAATTTAAAATAGTATAAATTAAAATATGTGAGGCGGCCAAAATAAGTTTTAAACAAAAATGTTCAACTTGTAAACAGAAATAGCGGGCAGCTGTATATACCGTATATGCGTCCATGTACAAACTACCAGACCAAAAGAAGCAACAGGGTCATATCCCTAGGTCGTATATCGTATAGGGTCGTATATCAGAAACGGATCATTGAGAATCGTAATGAATCTTTGTGTCATTTAAACACCTATTTTACTTACAGAGTATTATTTTTTTAAAATTATATTTATATGAACGAAATATTTAGAAATAACAGTAAGATATACATAGCGTACAACTCCGACATATTATGTTAGTGTAGGGAAATTTAAAAAAGGGCTATTCCATTTATTTGTCATATTTAAAAACAATTACAGGGTTGTTGAGAAAATGAAATAGGTCTTCAAAAGTCGTATCGTAATTGTTTCTGTATGTAAATAGTTTGAAATGTTCAATTCTTCATTTATCATTTCTTATTTTCATTTATTAAGTGTAAAATTGTGAGGAATTTCATTTTTATATACTTTTCTTTTGGTTCTGTTATTTCAAAATTAACGGATCACAAATAAATGAAACGGGGCTTCGTATTGATATGAAGCAAAAAAGCGAACCGAGAAAAAAAGAACGAGATACAAAAAAGTATAAAAGCTTTGTACCTGTAATTCTTAAGGTCGAATTTGAGGTGATTCTTCTTTGTAACGCGTTTGTAAGTAAACAATTATAGGCTGCGAGGGCAACTGGCAATAACTTTGTGCGATTTCAACATTTTCCTTTAACAAGCTCACAGATTAATATTATAAAAGCGCTCCGGCCTTATTGACGGATTGTTAAGACGTTTTAATGTTCATAGAATGATTACTTGAACTGTGACTAATAATGTCAGCTCCATTAAAGAGTTTGTACCCGAAGTTAATTGAAGATTCATTTTGGATTAAAAGCAACCTTATTATTTACTATCTTGATTTATGAACGGATACCGCGTGAAAATTCATTCCAAACGCGTCCAACAATTACTTGACATTCGCGGTATAGTCATTTGAATATTAATTGAGTATTTCGTTAAATCACCAATCAAAAGTGATCAGAGGGAAGCCTCTCTCCATATGAAATGGTTAAATTTATCCAAATGAAAACTTAGATAAATGCATAAGTTGCGAACGGCTGTATCGATTCGAATATTGTTTTTAAATGTTGTCCGAATAAAATTTTGGATAAGAAAAAAAATATAAATTTTCAAAATTTTGAAAACGTTATAAAGGAATTTAATGACATTTAGACATTACTTTTATTCGATCCGACTAGAGAGGTTTTTTCTGAAGTGTATTCAACAAAATAACTTTGTGATATTATTGTTTTATTTATTCGGTTTATCTCAACGCTTTCCTCATTTTGGCACGTGTAACAATGGATTTAAAAGACGTTTCTCAGAAATATGGCTATTTTCACTCGGTTTTATATTATTAATTTCAATATAAGTACGGCTTATCGTAATATCCTCGGGGTAGGTTTTCTATGAAGCGTTCAGTCACTGCTCATTCCCATTTCGGTCGTGGTTGCTCGATTAATTTAATTTCTTGTCGTTGAGCACGACGACGATAATAATTCAAACGCTTATCTGTTGTATTTATTTATGTGGAGGTGCGGTGCGGTTTTTACCGTTCTGTTTATCAGCTGCGTTACGAAGCCAAAGAAAACCGGGGCTGATCGTAACGCAGCCAACTCAATAGCCCATCACACCTGGCCGCAAGCAGTCGCTATCTACTTTGTACACTTTCATCTGAGCTCTTTGACAGTTATAATGCAGACTAACAATGAAAATATCCAATGCAATTGAGCCTTTAATTTTATATTAAAGGGTGGGTGATGGAATTTATGCTAACGGTCATCGGGCTCCAGTAAACACCATCCTGTCTATTTCTATGGCGAAGCAGTCATGTGTTACGGTTGGAAGGGTGAGATAGTCCTAATAAGATACGACTGCGTTGTTAATACTTCGACCTCGTATGCCGATTTTTACTTTGTGATGTCCATGGTCTCAGATAAAAGCATAGTACGGGGTGACCCTCGTCTGCCCATCTAGAAAAATAAAAAAAGATCCCCAGTGCGGTATGGTGGATCCATATATATAATCCGTTAAAACTATCACTTTTTTTCAAGTTTTTATCCACACGTTATGAGAGCTATAGCTTCAGATATAGCTTGTTAAGCTATCTTAGGTCGCTCATATGCAACCGATTAAGTTATTTGAAAATATAAAATACAAATAATATCCAAACTTTTAATTAAATAGGTTTTTAATTGAGTCATTCCGACCTTCGTTAGACGTTTCGTGACTTATTACCATTGTTTCATTACTTCTATGATTCTAATAACAATTAGGATTTAATGTAATACGAGCTGCCGTAATATTAACTCGTGTGATCAAACAAAGACGACGCCCATTCGCTAGGCGTGTCATAAAACTTTTGCAATCCCGCGGGAAATCAGCGCTGTCTGAAATTTCTCGACGAAATTAACCGGGGAAAATAGTGAAGGTGGAAAACATAAAGAAGTCTTGAAAACCCTGTTGACGATGATGCGATGGTCAAAATACGGCAAGATTGAGACAGCCTCCTGAGCAAAACCTGTTTTATCGAGCACGTTAATTACTCTACTGGATAGCAATAAGCAGATGGCAAATAACAAGTCAATTTATTTTTCATTATTCAAGCTTAAACGAAGGTCATTGATTCGTTTTTGTTTCATTACTTTTATTCAATTGAATTTGAAACAATGTGTTTATATGTTAATTTTATTACATTAAGCAATATTAGTGAATCGATGCTTATGATATTATTACTTAGTTTATCTTAGAACAGACCGTATTAATTTAATCCGGAATCTCATAAGTCTAGACAGACTAGTGTGGTCTGAATGAAAAATATTACGCTAGACACAATAGGTAATGAAACAAAACCTATCAAAGGACTTTAAACAAAAAAGTCTATCAGCATCAGAGAGGCTTTGTTCCAAAATTCATTTTCACGTTCTTTGATCCCCTGCACGGTGAATGGTAATACGATGCAATCTTTTGTCTGAATATTTCTCTGCAGTTTTGCATGCTCAAAGCATCTCCACCCTCAGTCCAGGTAGATGACATGATCACACAGCGAAATCGTATGAATACAGCTCTTAAATTCCGGAATTAAATTCTCAAAAGCCTGTCAAAGACATCATACTGATTAAATATTCGCGCATTCTCGACCGCCGTCACGCATTGCATATCGTAATTAATTATGAGAGTTGATGATTTTTGTTTAAATTTCGTGTGCTGATATCAAGTCACGTTAATTAAAATAGCCGTCGGACTTTTTTGAAGTTATATATTGATTCAGCGAAATGAAAGCTTTGCAATAACGAAAAAATGTAATTTACTCACTTTTCTGTAAGCTTGGGTGTTGATTTAAAGCAATAAAATATTTTGTCAATTTAATACACGAATCCGAAAAAAACAGTGGAAACATTTTCAATTGCGAGTGAGATTGGAACCTCTTTTGCTTTTTTTGCAACCCACACTTGCATTATTCAACTTCGCACTGCAAGCTAGCTCAAAAGAATGTTTATCTTTTGTGAAACCTTTGTGTTCTGTGTTGACACAACACATTCAATTTGAAATTCGTAGCGCTAATGTAATGAAGAAGGTACTGCTTTTATTTTTAGGGTTTTATGACATTAAATATGTTGCCTGAATTTTATTATTATCTCCTACAAAACATAACGACGATAAAAATTGAACTAAGAAAACAAAACTGAAATTAATTCAGAAAAAAATAGGTTCTAAAGCATTATATTTTTTTATTTGACAGAGTAGGTATTTATGCTATATTGTATAAAGACGTCAATGCTCGTAAGCCAAATAAATTGTACATAAGCTTTGCGGGTAAGGGACAAAGCATCCCTTTATCGTCCAGAACTTTAATTGCATTCTTTTAAGACTAGCTCTTTTTTGGACTTCTGGTGGAGTTAAAAAAGTAAGACATTAAATAAGTATAAATATACAGATAATATAACACACAGATTGAAATAAATGTTTTTAAATTTCAATTAGCAATGAACATAACATTATTATCTGATCTGTTATCAAATGTACCTACTATATTTTCATACAAAGAAAAAGTAACCAAAAGTATGCAATGACCTCGAAATTAATAAGGCATTTTAATGACATTAAATATGCAGTCTGTTAATATTATAATATAAACTTGCCCTAGTCCAATATTTATACTAAACAGTGGAATGTGTTACAGATGAAAGCTAAACAAGTGGCGGAGATGAACGGTGACACCTACAATGATGTAATTGAGCCCCACGAGAACCGAGCTGGTGATCTTAAGCCCGAGCGCAACCATAAGTACCGCCACAACAAGATGGTGCACGCTCAGATTTCACGACTTGCACGCAGCCAGGAGCAGCTTGACGAATACCAACAGAGCCTACAGACCCAGATCCTTGATGTGCAGCGCCGGCTCGACCGCTTCGAAGAACCGAACTGGAACCTACTTTCAGCCAAGGTCGATTTCCTCGAAGTTGAATCGAAAATACTTCGGAACGAACTGCAGAACACCACACAGAGAGTGTCCGATTTCGATAAAGTGCACGCTTCCATTCTCGAGCTGCGTGAAGACATCGAAGGGCTCGAGAACAAAGTCGACAAAACTGTACCGGATTTCAGAAAGGAAATATCGAAATTGGACGTCAGCTTTGCCCAGGTCAGTACTCTTGCCTGTCATTATTCAGGAATACCTTTTGTTTTTAAATTTAAACGATGTTTTTTAATTGTGCCCTCTAGCTGAATGCTCAGTCTTCGTACCTCAAGGAGGATCAGGAGAATATACGTCAATCAGTAAAAGCTATCGCAGTCAGTGTCAGCAACGCCATCGACCGCGCCGAGATGGACCGCCTGATGGTTAAGAAGATCAACGACTCCGTGTTCGACTTGGAAGCCCGGTCCAAGCAGCATTACTACAGACTCAACGATCACATTCTCAAGGTAAACTATTCAAAAACATATATTTTAGCGTTTCGCGGGACAACTATTTAACAATACCCAAGTCACACAATAAGCAATGGTATGATTTTTTACTATTACAGTTTTTGATAGCGGAGTCGTTGATGAATCCGTGTGTGCTAGTTACTTAGCATCTCATGAAAATTGAAATCTGAACCAGGATACGAACAATGGCTTTTCTCGCATGACTTTTACCTACCCGTTACAAAATGGAAGCTTCGTGTAACTTTGACGTGTAATTTTAAAAGTTTCTGTCTACTACCTTGTCTACGGGACTAAGGCCCGCGCAGAAAGTTTTATATTGCATTTAATTTCAATCTTGTCTAACAAATTTGAATAGAGCATATAGAAAGTTTCACAACGTTCAAAGCTCCGTACTCTATTGAAGAACCTAGCGAACAATTTTCATTTTGAGCTTCCATCACGTTCATTTATTGTCGTACATTTTTTATTCTGAAATACTGAAGTAGATTGTTTCTTTTACGTATGTATGAGCCGGTTAATGTTTCAGTCGAAACCAATATTCGTTTTTATGTAGTCTAATATGTACACGAATATATGTATGTACGTGTGAGTATTCACAAACAAAACTTAACCGAGTTACTTCGTGTCACGTAGGTCGGGATCCTCGGCTACAAACAGAGTTTGTTGTTCACTCCTCGGCTTAATGCTTTCTAGATAACACATGAATATATTACACAAATGGAAACCATATTTAAAATAGTACGTGATCTTGTCGAGCAAGTACACGGTCGTATTAACCGATGTTGCAACGAACGTGCCTTTATTATAACTAATTAAACTATTAATTTAATTACGCTTAAACAGGAAACGCGTAATTTATGTTTTCGGGCAAACAATTTACAGCATCTGGATTAGTAGTGACTTGTCAAACTTATCGTCAAATTTATCAAAAATTAACGTTTATCTCATTAATATGTGTAGATTCAAACTTAAAAAAAAAACATGCTTAAATAGCAAGCCGAAGTAGCAATTAACTAATTTCATCTTTTTTTATTCATACCATTTTTATTTTTTATACTGATCAGGATATCAGAGCGAAATTATAAAATCGTTCCATTGTTAGTGTATGCGTATTAAGTTAATCGGACCTATACAAATCGGTGAAATTTACCTTCAACGATTCCTGTACGAGTACATACAAACGTACACACAAACATTGTTTCATACATACATACCAAGCTAATAAAACATGTTAAATAATGAAAGTTTTCTTACAGAGCGAGGCCAGTGTTCCAGACGCTAATTTGACTGAAACTATACCCCTTCCGGAGCTGATGGGCGAGGTCAAGGAACTGGAGCCGGTCCAACGTGAGTACGAGGATCTAGTCAACCAGCTACCTCGTGACTGCTCCAGCATCAAGGGGCCGGCCGGGACGTACCTTATCCACCCCGGGCACGCTCCCGTCGACACCTGGTGCGTCAACGGAAACACTCTATTGCAAAGACGCTATAATGGCTCGATCGAATTCAATCGTAAATTTAGCGAGTACGTTCATGGTTTCGGCGACCCCACTTCGGAATACTGGTTGGGCTTGGAATCAATGCACCAGATCACTTCCGATAACTGCTCTTCGATGAGGATCGATATGACCGATATATACGGCGGCAGCTGGTATGCCGAATACGATCACTTCTCGGTCAGCAACGCCGACACCGGATTCATTCTGAACGTGAGCGGATTTAGAGGAAATGCCAGCGATGCTTTTGAGTATCAAAATCATATGGAGTTCTCGACTATCGACCGCGACCGCGACATCTCTAACACTCACTGCGCCGGCAACTACGAGGGCGGTTGGTGGTTCTCTCACTGCCAGCATGTGAACATCAACGGCAAGTACACACTCGGCCTGACCTGGTTCGACTCCGCCAGGAACGAGTGGATCGCCGTAGCCACTAGCGAGATGCGCGTGTTCCGCAGAGCCGGCTGCTTCTAAGTCGCTCGCGTATTCATGTAGCAACGACGCTACCAGAGCGTCCATAGTCTTTATACATTGATGTTGTTAATTATATAATCATACCAAAGATACTACCTATAAGCGAGTACTATTTGATTATGTTGGAAAAAAACGGGCTCTAGAATTATTTAAGTTTTTATGTCACGTAACATAATCTACCGTAGGTATTATTTTCTTAACAAGATATGACCCGATAGTTTGTATCTTGAATGTTCAATATCAATTTCCTTTTTTATATTCTTTGTAAGGAGCGCTATTGATTTTTATCATTATTTTCTATTCTATTGTATACTTGCATTCATTAGTTTTATTATAAGTAGGTATCTAATATAAGACGTATAATGGAAGCATGAAATGCTAAATATTGTGTATCACGTATTACAGTCTCTGTGAATCGATCTTTTATTATGTTTTTAATTTAATTTAAATTCAAAATTTGTATATTATTCTTATTTAGTTTATGTTATTTTAATTATTCCGCTCGCGGTGTTCTAGATTTTTAATTTCATTTAACATATTTTTTAAGAAATTAAGAAGACTGTTTGAGCCAATATTAAGTATCGAAATTGATTAAGATTTGTGTACAGATAGTTTTATTTGAGCAATTGGTAAGAATGGCGTTTTCGTTATGGTAACTTTATTTCATTAGGGGTCAAACAGCGATCGATTCATCATACACAAGCAGATGTATTAGCACATATTTTATTCAATCAAATATAATAATCTACGTAGTTGCATGTTAAGATGTAGGGTTTTTTGAATCTCCGGTAAATAGCATTTATTCAATACTGCATATGTACCTACCAATGGAATTAAACCAAATAAAGGTTAAGTCAAATAATGTTGTTTTATTTAGTTGTTGTATAATAGAAAAACCACATATTTTGTTTTTTTTTTGGTTTTTTTTTCCTACCTAAGCTGAGAGCCTTGAGAGGCTATTTCAGCGTAACCCTATCGTTTGTAGGTGAGCTCACGGGGCTCAAACCTGATGACGTTGCTAACACGAACCCTAGCAAGAGCCGTGCTTCGCAGAATCTACCACCGGATCGGAAACGCGACCCACTGAGAGGATCCGGCGAGAAACTCAGTGGGCTGTGTCTGAGAGTTAATTTACTACATATTATACCTATACTACATAATAACCTACACTAAGAACGGTGACCGGCATATTTTGTACTTTTCGCGCGTCATTTAGGACAAAATCAACGTTGGAGCTTTATTTTAACCTAGGTGTAAAAGAGAACACATCGTTACCTAGAGCACTTGTAACTTATACTCAGCGTCACATTTATAAGGTCTAAAGCCAAGTTCTATCTGCAAGCTTGAAATGCATAACTTGTAGCCTCATTTACCAGATTAAAATTAATAGGGTTTATTGACGAAAATTTACTTTAAAAAAATATATATTAATGTAATTTTTATCTTTTTGGGTATTGAAAAAATAAATTTTAGTGTAAATGTTTATAATAATAAACCAAACCAAAAACTGAGGAAGTAAAATAAATTGTAATTGCCATTAACATTTAAGCGACTGGCTTGTTAGTCCGCACAGATAGGTACCACCACCCTGCCTATTTCTGCCGTGAAGCAGTAATGCATTTCGCTTTGAAGGGTGGGGCAGTCGTTGTACTATACTGAGACCTTAGAACTCATATCTCAAGGTGGTTGGCAGCATTTACGTTGTAGATGTCTATGGGCTCCGGTAACTTAACACCAGGTGGGCTGTGCGCTCGTCCACCCATCTATGCAATAAAAAAATTGATAAAAACGTAGCTTTCATTTTTACTCTGATAGATAGGCCACAGACTCAGAGACACATATTCGGGTTCTAGTTAAAGAATACATCCCGGATGTCATAAATAAGTAGATACACAATTCTGTAGTTTCGATTCAGAATACGCTCTGGAAAGTAGTGCCAAATATTTTATAAGATTAGATAAAATCTAAAAACACGCTAAAACATTTCAATTGCACGTATGGTATGATACACTAGGAATTGAAATAAACAAATAAGACAAACTTTAATAGAGAAGATGGTTAGTGCTTATCTCACACCTGGGATCGATCCTCTTATCGTGAAGATTCAAAACCCAAGTCGAACCAACTGACATACCTCAATAAACTCTTAGTTATTTCTGAGCGCAAACAAACTTAAATGTCCTCAAACATTATGCATAGTAAATTTGACTTTTATTTACTAAAATATTTCTTTATAATATTCTAGATATTTTCCATATATTATGTAAAATTTAAGTGTGTTTATTTCCTAGATTTCCTTAGTCGCGGCTGATAAGCTCTAGAACAACAAAAACATTAGTTTAAAACCTTGAATACTTTTAAATATTTTGTATCTAAAAACAAGGAAGAATAAATAAAAATAAATTTACCAATACGTTCTTTTTAAGATCCTTACATGAAGATGATTACATAAAGCGAGTTATCTCAATTTAATCTGTTTAAAATGATCCAATATTCCAGTTAATATAGACATACAAACTCGAACTATAGTTTAGACCTTGTCGCCAATAATTAACATGGATTCACGTTAATGACGTAAGCTGATCAACATGAAACATGACACATACCTATGTTGCATGAAACATACCTATTGTTCCAGAAATTTCTAATTAAATAATCGATAGCTTTGAATGAGCTATTAAAATAATGTTACTTAAGTTATTATTGTTATTCAATTCGAAGGGTAATATTTATGAAATTCCAATGCTTTACGTCTCACGAAGAGTTTCAGTGACCAAGTTGTATTGTTGGTTTGAAAGTAAGGTATATCTCTTGCCATGTAGCGTCCTCCTCCCGGTGAAATTTACGGGGTGAAATAAGGCGCCGAACCCGAACGAAGTCTTTTAGCGGGTAGGCTTACACATTCCGTGCGCCATCTAGGTGCGGGAGTCTCGTAAGAGTTTCAGGGCCAGCAAGAAAAAAACGTCTCTCTCTTGAGAAAAACTTCTTCGATCAGAAGATTTTACTAAATTTGTACACATATTAATTAAATAAACGACGGCAAAAACATCCTAAAGTTTGATCGTAAAGTTACCTACCAGTTCCAACTGTAAATCCAAACTTTCCGGAGATCAACTCAAATACAGAAAAAAGCTTCATAATCGGAGCAACAGAACCTGGCATAAATAGCTCCACCTGTTTAAGGTCCTAAGGCTCCCAAATGGGACAGAGGACTTCAATAGTGCTTTTAACATTAGTATCAAAAGATTACTAATCCAATTGCGTCAAAAAAAAAATTTATTGCCCTTGTAGGCAGACGAGCATACGGCCCTACCTGGTGGTGAGTGGTTACCGTTGCCTATGGACCTCAGCAATGCCAAGGTTAGAGCTAGGCTGCTGCCTACCGGAGAAATTGGCAAGGCAAAAAGAAATGATAAGTTGGTACCGCCCGAACTGAACGATTACCAGCGCGTCGAATGCGTTAGGGTATGCCTTGTGTTACTTAAAGGCACAGAAACGATTTTGAACCGAATTGTCACTTGGAATGATACATGCATAATCATAAGCGCTCATCATATTGGTCAGTTCCTGATTTAGCATCTACGGTCCAAAAAATCTACAGTCCAAAACTTACTCCTAAAAAGTCATGATCACTGTTTGGTAGCCAAGTGTCGGGATAATTTATCACATCTTCTTACCAAATGTTACTGGTGGTAGGACCTCTTGTGAGTCCGTGCGGTTAGGTACCAACCACCTTACCTATTTTTGCCGTGAAGCAGTAATGCGTTTGAATTTGAAGGGCGGGGCAGCCGTTGTGACTATACCGAGACCATAGAACTGATATTTCAAGGTGGGTGGCGCACTTACGTCGTAGATGTCTATAGGCTCCAGTAACCACTTAACACCAGGTGGGCTGAGAGCTCGTCCACCGATACTGTGAGGAACTGAACACAATAATGGAGAAGCTCACGAATCTCCGGCATATCCTGGTTAATAGCTCTTCCCCGCTGCTCCTACACAAGAATGTTAGACCTCATACAGTATAACAGACATACTCTAAGCTAGGGTTGGAAGTTTTGCGTCAACCACCGTACCCCGTTGCCCCGGCAGACTTCTACTTTTTCCAAAGAAAAATTTCAAATTTAAATGTCTTTGTAGAGTTTGTTGTCTCCTGACTAACTTTTTTAAGAAGGGCAGTGAAAAATGACCATTGCGCTGACATAGATGCTTCGATAACATGGGTGCATATTTTGTTTGATTGAAATAAAAAATACTTATAAAACAATTACTTTAACTGTGTGTATATTAAACGGCAACTTCGGACACAAAAACGTAAGAGAGAGTAGGGGAGCGGGGGGTAGCCCCGGCCGGAGGGTAGCCTCGGCCACCGCAAATACTAGTGACTCTCGTAGTGTTACCTATAAGTACGTGTTATGTCTGTGTGCGTTTACTATCCATTCGAAAAATACTGACAGTTGGAAGTCACCCGACCACGGTGCTCGGACGTAAATTGAGTATTTTGTTTTTGGCGGACTGGTTGCGCGGGATACCAATTGTTTCGGAGGCTATTTTTATTGGATAAACGTAGGTTATTATTTAGATTATATTTTTTTACATATTTCAATACATTTCTATTTCATATATTTAAGTTTATCTGAATGTGTAATAATATGCTTTTTAATAAGAATTTTTTGTTTGATGAAAGTTGTGTCGGGTAACCCCGGCCATCGATTTTGGGNCGGACTGGTTGCGCGGGATACCAATTGTTTCGGAGGCTATTTTTATTGGATAAACGTAGGTTATTATTTAGATTATATTTTTTTACATATTTCAATACATTTCTATTTCATATATTTAAGTTTATCTGAATGTGTAATAATATGCTTTTTAATAAGAATTTTTTGTTTGATGAAAGTTGTGTCGGGTAACCCCGGCCATCGATTTTGGGAGTACCCCCGGCCATAGGAGCTGACGCTATTATTCCTCATATGTTTAAATCTAGCACCCAATATTAATATGTTGGAGTGGTACAATGCCCAAATTTAGGAATAGAACTACAAATTGCGGAGACTGGAGTAAAGAGAATATGAAAAAAGCAATTCAAGCTGTCCTTGACAAAAAATATTCTGAAAGAGCAGCCGCAGACCGATACGAAGTCCCACGTACTTCTTTGCAAGATCGTATTAAAGGTATAAAACAAGGTTATCAGGTCAGTCTTAAACCAAAATTAGGACGCTTTGAACAAACATTCAAACCTGAGTTTCAAAGACAACTCTGTGAGCATGTTATAAATTTAGATAACCGTCTTATGCCTTTAACAAGAAGTGAGTTTTTGCGCTTTGCCTTTGATTTAGCAGAAAAACTTCAAATTCCTCACAGGTTTAACAAGGACAAACGAATGGCAGGAAAAGATTTTTTCTGCGAATTTAAGAAAAGAAATCCAGATGTGGCATTAAGAACTCCTGAGGCAACTAGCTTGATGCGTTCTACCAAAGGTGCGGTAAAGACACCAAAAGTGCGGTAAAGGTCAAGAGAAACATAAAAACGGGACTAAAAGTTTAGAAAGTTGCATCTCAGCCAGATTCGTCACATCAGGAGACGGAATGCATTATTTGCTGTGAAACATTCGATGAGGATTGGATCCAATGCAAAATTGCAAAATATGTGAGGACTGGGCTCACGAAGCTTGTGTAGATTTAAATCCATCTCATTTATACTATTACTGTGATGTATGTGTTGCCAAAAAACGCATTAATCTTTAAATACCTGGGTGGCCGGAGCTACCCGCCATCTTTAAGGGATACCAAAATTTGATTACTTTTTCAAGTGGCTTTAATTACAGAGGGATTATGTTGTTGTCTGAGTATTCGATATTTATCTTAAATAAATATAATGTTGATTATTTTTAATAGTTTTTTATTATTTTACTTAATAAATATAGTCATAATATCGAAAACAAAAAAATGGCCGGGGCTATCCCCCTCTCCCCTACGTACTTAACGTTGGAGAGAGTTTAACGGTAGGCGGCGGTTGGCTCCGCCCCTGGTATTGCTGATGTCCATGGGCGACGGTAACCACTCACCTTCAGGTGGGCCGTATGTTCGTGTGCCTACAAGGACAATAAAAAAACGTAATATTTTATTACTTTTACCTTACTATTTTGACCAGGCGCACAGGGATAAATGTACGGGATAATTATAACGTATTTTCGTAGTTTTTTTAAGGTATATTATTTAAATAGATGTTGATAGACTTTTGAGTGTGAAAATATTACTATTTTTTTTATCTATGTTAAGAATTTTCTTTCAGTATTCAAATAGCAATTTAAAATGTTTTTACAAAAGAGTATTTATTGTACGTCATAGTAGCAAACCGGCTAAGAAGCTGTCTATTCATCCGTACACCAAAATATAATATTATTATAAATATATTTTTCGACTATTAATATTATTTATTAATGCTGTAGAAGTGTGGCATGTTACTACTATGCGACTGTTCTATTGTACTCATGTGTAAATTAAATATTATCGTTTTGTCAGTTTCCCGCAGCAGCTGTTAATGCTAAAGATATAAAGCTAAGTCGGCCGCTGATCTGGTTGTCTAATATATCCGTACACCTTATACTTTATGTAAATAAAACCAGAAACGCAACCTAGCTGCTACAGCTGACTATCAATCAAGAGCTGCCCTCAGGTTAATTCTCGAAGCCGCATCTAACTGTAACGAAACGAATACATCAATACAGGCATCCGCTGGATGGATTGAATTGAACCTTGGGGGAGGTCTATATCTTGAACTGAATATCTAAAAACCGAAATGTGAACATCTAATAAATGAAGGTAACGATGACGACATTTTTTTAACAAGTACCTATACACTAAACCTCTCGCGTCGCCTGATTCTGAACTACCTACATTGTATGTAGTTCAAAAAACAACAATTACGTTATACAATAGCAGTCAATCCCACCGTGGTCGTTTTACTTAAGGCTCGCAGTGAATTCAACGAAATGTAAATTGAAAGACATAGCTTTTTTTTCTCGTTGTGCATTTTAAAAATATGTATGTAAATTTTGAGCAAAATATATGTTTTTCTTCCATTTTGTAGAGAAATGCAGGGTTATAATTTATTCACTTGAATTAATTTTGGTAGAACTAAAGTGGTTTTATTCAAATAAATTTGATAATTTAACCATAGTATTTTTTTGCATTTGCATTTAATGTACATATAATAATTATTTTTTAAACTAATGAAACCTGGTCACGCTTTGCTATCACTATCGCTAACGGTATGGAAAAATCATATTCTTTTTCTAAAAATAATAATTTATTCAAACCATATCCATCCATATCTATCCAGTTGGGCTATTGTTAAGTCATTCAATTGCTATTATTCACAAAAGCTATCGTTATATATATGGGGCAATTGATGTTTATAAAATATGTAAATACAATACATGAGGTAGCTATCTAATAGTACAAATGCACTATCCAGTGCTTAAAGGTCGTGAGTGTCTTACCGCTGTAGATAGGATTCAATGACCCAGAGTCACACAGAGGTTGGTACGAAACGGTTTGCACCCATCCACATTTTCTGTCTTTGTATATTCTGTATAATATCTGGGCAGACCCTTATCACATTTTCTTCTAGCAAAAATATCACATTAGCTTTCTTGTATTGTTACCACTCCCCTGCACTCTCGCCCAAGCATCCGATTCCTCGCGAAATCAGAATCCGGGCGGGATAAAGGGGTTACCGTGGTCTATACTACAACCAAACTCGCAGGCCGTCCAGGACGTCTGACCCGCGGGTCGACGAAGCGATCGTGGACGATAAATAACGCCGGTCTCCGCGTGGGGCATGCATCTGGTGTTCTAGGAATGCGATTCACCACCTACCGGGTTGCTTTTCCACAGTACGGCCGGCGATGACGCCAACGCGGACCGCATCCGCCACCGCGTCGTCCCACATTCCTGGGGCCAGCGTGCGGCGCAGCCTTGATCCTCTCAGATCGCTGGAAGGAGACCGCCTCCTCAAAAGAGGCGAGCTGGACGAACGCCCTCCTCCGACCCCGGCTCGGCGGTGGGAGCTCGATGCTGAAAGGGAAGAAGTGCTCTCCCTCTCCTGTTCTGCAACCTCCTTCTGGGAGATGGTGGCCTCGCAGAAGTCGAGCATCCAGGACGGCCGGCAGTGACAGGTCCGGTCCTAACTATGCGACGAGGATGCAGCGCCGCTCCGCGAAAGTGGGGCAGCACGCAAGCGTGTGCTCCGCCGTGTCTTCGTCACAAACATAGCAGTGGTGGCACTCTGGCGTCAGCTCCATCCGGGCGACGAGGTGCAGGTAATGGCCAAGACAGCCGTGTCAGTGAGTACTTGTGTCACCCGGAAGATGAGAAGTTCTCGGTCCCGATTCACCCAGTCCGAGAGGATCGGGTGGATCGCTTCCATGGTCCGTTACCGGCAGGCGGGTTCCGTCAGACGGTGAGATCACTACTCGAGACCTTGCTCTAAATCCTACCCTAATTACCTACCAAAGGTAAAGCAAGTACTGAGAATATCCGAAGTAGTAATAATGCTGTACTCATTTCTGCGAGGGAAGGGTAGGACTTATTGGATGAGGTTACTCCAACCCATAATAATAATAATCGTCGAAACTGACATAATCTCGTGTCTCAGTTAGGAATTTTATAAATTCCAATATAGTGGATTTCAAAATGATTCCATGGGACAGCTTTAATTAAGTAGGGAATTTCAATTTGCAAACCATTCTCTGTATAGTTTAATTGAGATCTCCGATAGCCGATAATTACGCTCGTACCTCTATATACGTTACGTGCTCAATTCCATCCACAGGGTGGATGTTAGCGATGAATTGATCTTTTTATAATTCAATTATTATCATTAAATATGTAACCTAGCACCGATAGTTAAAAAAAATTGTATATTTTTAATTTTTTACTCATGTAATCACATTACATTTTCATCTTTTACCCAACAGAACAACGAGATACTTGACCTCTTAAAATTTTGTTAGTTGAATATTTTTTTGGCAAACGTCAATAACATTAACATAATAATTAAAGTAACAAAATTCAATTATTTCGAGTCGTAGTCGTTCACCGTTGGATAGTGCTGCAAAAAACGTTAAGCGAAAACGTTTATCTTTCTAACAAAAAGTAATACTAAAATAGCTTTTGATCACAGTAATATCTGTATTTAGTTGAAAACAATTTATTTTAACTAACAGGACAACAATATCTCTGATGTTAAAAATATTTATATTCTATTACTAATTTTTCTTTATTAAGTTTTCCTGTTACATTCCGTTGTTTTTTTTTAAATTCTGTTCGTGAAACTTGACAGCCAAAGAAAACATAGTCCTTACCTTAAGGCAGATCTTAAATTATTTAAATGTTAAATAGCTTTGGGTTTTGCGTGTATGACCTGTAACATACGGGCAATACAAGTGTAATTATACAAGAAATGCCTATGCAAACATTGGGCTGCCTGATAAAGCTGTATGGTAATTCTGTTTTGTAAGCAGAAGCAAATTCAGCAGCATTGTAATAAACCTTGTTTATGTCCACAAATTAGTCAAAAAGATTTATCAATACACCTATTTGTTATATTTAATTAAATTGAGTTTAATATTTTAAAATCAACAAACAAATTAAGCTCGATATTAAACAGGCTATTATTATGTTTTTAATTATGTTCAGAATATACGAGTAGTTTCAAATTTGGGATAAAAGAGAACTAAGCTATAAAACTTTATAAAGAGAAATCAAGTATCACTAATTTACTCGTAGTTTAGACTCAGAAGTTAGACTAAAACAGACTGTGTTCGACTTTTTAATAATTGTCTCCGGTGTCTTCTTCAACAGAATTGGTTACATTATCAGTATCGCTTTCGTCGTCTTCAACAATCAAATCATTCAAACCATCGTAGACCTTGTCGGTAACATCCGCTACACGTATATTTTTATTCAAAAATGGCCGAACTTCAATTTTGGTTTTATCTTTCCTTAAGTAATTGATCATTTTTTCTTCTTTTCTTAATTTTTCTAACATTTCTTGCTTCATTTTGCTGAATGCTCCTTCTTTTATTACATTGCGGATATCGTACACCGTTCCTTTTAATTTGACGATGTATTTATCGAATGTCATCGGCTCGAGTTCTTTGTTAACGTACATATAGGACGGCGGCTTAATCACCCTGGTCGTTCGGAGCCACAAAGCCGCAATGTAGCTATTCGTTGCCTCAATAATAGTTGTCAGGTTGCTTTTTCTTAGAAGCTGGAGTATGTTGATGTTGTGTACCAGCCATCTGAAACGATGGTTTTTTTTTTATAGCTTAGATCAGTGGACGAGCTCACAGCCCACCTGGTGTTAAGTGATTACTAGAGCCCATAGACATCCACAACGTAAATGCGCCACCCACCTTGAGATATAAGTTCTAAGGTCTCAAGTGTAGTTACAACGGCTGCCCCACCCTTCAAACCGAAACGCATTACTGCTTCACGGCAGAAATAGGCAGGGTGGTGGTACCCACCCGCGCGGACTCACAAGAGGTCCTACCACCATTGAAAATATGTAACGCTTTTAACCAGAATTTGATAACGTTCACCCGAGGTTGGCAGCCAATACATAAAAAAAAGGAAACAAATAGGTTACAGTTGAAGTTTGAGACGTATATTTAAACTTGTGTGAACTTGAAAGTAATTACTAAAATTTAATATTTTCTTCGGTTTTCGCGATTCCTAGGCCGTCTGCGATAACAAAAACTGTATAATATTCGAAACTTCGAAAATAATATATAATGACAATAAAAATCACAAGATTATGCTGTAAAATAATTTTTAATTTCTAACTGTAATGTAGATATTTTACTTGCAAATAATTGGATACTGTGTATATACAAAAAAACACGTCTTTATTTCGCTAATGTTTATTCAAGGCCCCTCTAGAGCTTATAGTGAAATATTTAAAATTATGGTATATCTATTCTTTACCCACACAGTATTCTTTACTACACACTCTACCGCTAGTTATTCTATTAATATGTTCTAATATTCTCAAAATAATTCTTAGGTGATAATAGACAATTCGGCTATTGATTAGAAGATGCGCTACATATGTATGTATGTATATGCGGCCCTAGCAGCAATATTGTCAATTTATTACCCTATTTCATTATCCGTCTCATTTCTGTGTTGATTCTTATATCGTTGATATTGCAAGTAAAGCGTGTTAAAATTTCGCAGGTATTCTTCCTATTGCTATGTATAGGAATAGGTAACAGAAATAGGTTCCGTTGTTAAGGATTGAACAGTCGAGATACTTTTATAAATGCAATCTTATGTCTCAAATAAGAGGGCGGTATTATTTTTTTGTATTCTTTTCTATTTTGTAGTCTTTGTATTTATTCTTTCAATAGCCTGTGGCGGGTAGCCATCATACAACGCAAGATAATTGACAGATGCCTGAATCTCGCTTACGACATTTTCAAGATAAAGCGCATATATACAAGTTCCGAACAACAACATTCGGACCGTCGGTCTACCGAGTAATATCACCCGCTCGGTTGAAGATCTTCCCTCCGTCGTATACCTACAAGCCTACCAAGTTGCGAAAGTCAGCTACATATCTGTGTAAAAAGTTACATAATAATGATTTCTATTTTTCAAATCGAATCAAAATTTACCAGATTAGTCTAGGCTGAATGTTACTGACCTTTCGTAATACATCATGTCTGTATAAACTAAAGGTAGGTCATGCTGATAGCCGCACCCCAAGCCCCATGACTGGAGGCCAAGTAATGTCGAATCGACGACAAGGGGAGCGCCCGGAACTCCCAAACAAGAGCAGTTCGGTTCCACCTGCCTCGCTACGCCGACGCACAGCATACCCGGCTTGAAGTCCACTTCGTTCTGTTTGCAATATTTTGTATTCATGAAGTTAAACATTACCTGATTCACTGAACGGTCTCCAGTAGTCTTTCAAATGTTTTGCAAAATAATGATAATCAAATTAGTAGGTACTTAGGCTTTTTAAAACATTTTAAAGCATCGTCAATAAGTTTAATATTATATTACACAAGCCAAAATATTTTTTAATTGGATACTAAACCTGAGACCAAGATGATTCTGAAAGAGTTATAAAATAATCAAGAAAATCAAAATGATAGATCTAATATATAAAATTCTCGTGTCACAATGTTCGTTCCCATACTCCTCCGAAACCGCTTGACCGATTCTCATGAAATTTTTTATGCATATTCAGTAAGCCTGAGAATCGGCTACTATCTATTTTTCATACCCCTAAGTGATTAGGGTTGTCCACCCCTAACATATTTTTTTTTATTTGGACATTTTTTTTTGTTATACTTAATGAGGTATTATGTGGTTGAATGAGGTTTTGTTATTTTTATTATATATTCCCTCATCGTTCACAGCACTACTCTTTCACTCATTTACCACATCCTTACACACTTACAATAAGTTAGTTATTTTTTCTACACTAGAAATTCCCTAGAAATCTTATATATGGCAAAACAATGTTTGCCGGGTTAGCTAGTGATTTAATAAAAAAGCAACAAAAATGATGAAAATTCTTAAAATTCACAAATCTATAGTTTATAACTCAATTTGAAAATTTACATTATTCGATGTTCGTTACTTAATCACACGTAAAATGGCTGAACAGAATTGGATGAAATTTCACAGAGGAGATAGCTTATAGCCTGGGGTTGATTCACAGGATTATTTTATCATCGTAAATAACATAGCCCGGCCAACGCCAGATAAATCGGCTGTAATAAATACAATAGCATGTTCGGCGGCTCGTGAGCAACGTGCCAACGAATCTACAAATCGACTAGTACTTTATGAACAAGAGAGTGACATAAGCAACTCTTTATACCAGGAAAATGCAATTTGAAGTAACGCGGTTGAAACTGAGAGGGACATCTATAAGTGTATTTTGAATTGCATACAATGCGGCGTTTCATCGCTCAGAGTGTGCATAGTGCGAGTTTTTGAACTTTCTCGATAGCGTAAAAGTTAACTCAAAGTATGGAGTTGGAACGTTTAGTTACGTTTGCCGCTAGGGGCGCTGTTCCAATATCCAGTGAACAATCACAACATACCGGGATCGAGAAACGCAATCGCGAAATCAAATATACATCGTGTACTGGTGATTACTGAAAAAAATCTATTTTTGTTTTTCAAATCGTACTCAGTGTAATATTATACTCGTAATATTTAAAATCGTTTTGACGAGCGGAATAAGGCTACGCGGCTGATTTGCGCCGACTGTTTTGACTTCACTTTAGAGCACGCGCAGCTCGCGAAATATGAACCTGCTGCTACGACAAGTAGATATTTACTCTCAACATAGCGTTGTGGTTTTCGAGTGCTGTACAGTATTCCCCTTATTTCCACTTACGGCTTCGGGAACTGTATCTCCACTATAAATTGATACATGTACCTACATTAAATACGATTTACCTATACGAAAATACTTTCAGCAGTTTTATTGTCTTCTTTTTTCGGAACTCGAATACGACTCTAGTTTTATATCAATCATTAAAAAAATCTTATCAGATTAGATAGATTTAGGTAGATTCTTATCATAGAAGATTAGTCAGAAAACGCTTACGTTCTAGTTAAGGAAGCCGGTATAAACCGGATCTTTACAAAATGCGGAATCAAAACTTAGACGTGAAGAAACAAATGCAGCGCATACTTATTAAAAAACAGGGCTCAGTGGTCCTTGCTCACCAAATGGTCCTTGCCGCTTGTAGTGCGGAGGGTCCCGGCCAGACTGAAAGAGAGGCGCGGCCAAGGTAAGCGCTGTTTTTATTGCATAGTGGTTGAGGAAGATAGAGATAGACAGTGCGGACAATAAGAAAAACAGTAGTGCTTCTTTGCAATACATACATTACAAACTCTCTTCAAAGCAATCGCAATATGTTTTTATTTTATTAGACAAAATCGATAATATCCAACATTATAAGTACCTCCGATATCGTCATTGCATTAGGCGCCAAACATTTCTATAGTTTATATATTTTGTAATTAGACTCAATTTCGCCTAAAAATAGACGTTCTATCGGTCCCGCCCCGCGATTTAATTATGTAGCACCGCTCGCATTCCGAAACATATCAAAATATTTTTTCGAGAACACTCTTTTGGTGCTAGATGTCTAAATAGGAATAAGCAGAACTTCCATATATCTAGAATTTTATCAATGCTTCCTCTATATATATCTATATACAGTAAACTAAAAAAGTAAATATATATAACAGATAATTCATAGTTTCCTATTCATGATTAACTTATTAGATCTATTTTCGTAACGGTTAAGAACAGCAATCCATTACACATTAAAATTACGACGGATTTACAATTATTTTGTTAAAAAAACAATTTAGATTCTTGCTCGCACATAAAATGTGCATGTTGAATATATTAGAATGCTAATCGCGTATCATCAAAGTTTTCCCTAATTATAACTAATTCGAACACTATGCATCTATAAAATTTATGTAATTAGTCCTACATAGTAAATAGTCCTACAGTACCGGCTTTCAGCGACCCATTTCTGACCTACTTACGCCATTAAAAAAAAACACCAAAATAAATGGGAAACATTTTGAAGATAGCTTTTGTTATAAAATATTCAGTTATATCGCTGTCTCGTCTCGTTTCAATACGCTGTTCGCCTTTAATTCTGACAAATTTAGAGTGAATTTGCGATCGTGACTTATACAACGTATTTACTGCCGAAGTTAAGATTCGAGAGATTATTAAAAAAGTTATTAATTTCTCCGGTTACTTACTGTTGACAAAATTGTTTTACAATAATAAAATACATTTGATAGGCAGATTTCCATCGATATCTCTCTTTTCTTTGAAAAAGTTGATTAGAATGAACTACGTAATAAAATTTAATTTATCTTATTTTAGTTCACCATAATTACAAAATTTTGCATGATTGCCTTCGATAATTAACAGAATTGATACGCTAAATAAAAAATATATCATTGTACAGAATGCCTAATTTGTGTATATTTCACCGTCTGGCCAGCACTGTTGGAAGCCACTGGTATTCTCACTCTTGTAGGTATATGTACCTAGTCAGGTCATAAATTCTGTCACATGTTTAATGTAAAATAATTCAAACAAGTTTATTCATTATGTAACCATTCATATACCAAAATGAACTTAACAAAACATAGATTCTTATGACACTAAAGTTTATTCAAAGTGACCTTCGTGATTTTGAATACAGACCTTCAATCTGCGCGGCCAGTCGTCTATCGCAGCACGAACGAGGTCCATGTCAATATCGGCGGCTGCCTTAATCAAGGATGTCTTGAGTGACTCCAAATTGGGATGAGGCTTTGAGCACGCCTTTTCCTCTAAGTGTTGCCATATCTTGTAATCTAACGGATTCAAATCTGGACTGGAGGAGGGCCAGTCTTCGTGCCGGATGAAGTCGATTTCACGCGCCGCCAGCCAGTCTTGTGTGCTCTTCGCTCTATGAGCTGGCGCCGAATCTTGTTGGAATACCCAGTGCCTGTTATTGAACATGGTATGAGAAACAGGTTCCACAAGGTTCGTCAGGACTGTATTTTGATACACAACTGCATTCGTTTTTACACCTTTCTCACAAAAATGTACCTCTGTTAAGCCCCAATAAGAAACTCCCAACCATACCATGAGCGAGGATGGAAAATGACCTCGTTGGACACGCGGAATACGGTTGCTCGCTTCTTCACTACTGTGTGCGTACACCTTATCATTTTGTTTGTTGTAGCTCTCTTCTACGGTAAAAATTTTTTCATCCGAAAAAAGAATTTCCCGATATTTTTTTCCCGCGTACCGCTTCAACAAAGCGCGGCATCTCTTCAGTCTCAGGTCCATTAGACGAGCATTCAAACGATGTCCTGTTTTTCTTCGATATGCCCGAAGCCCTAAGTCTTCATTTAACACCCTTTTCACCGTGGTTCTGCTTAACCCCATCTGAAGGGCCAACAGTTTCTGCTTACGTTTGGGATTTCTTTGAATTCGCGCCTTCACAGCTTTTATCACTGCTGGAGTCCTAACAGACCGAGGGCGACCACTTCTTGACCTGTCATCTACACTAGAGTCTTCATTGTATCGTTTGATGGTACGATAAACGAATCTTTTGGTTATATTCAAATTTTTCAGTATGTTAAAAATTTGAATTGGCGCGTAACCGCAACGATGCAACGCAATAACTGCAACACGGTCTTCTTTAAGCGTCCACTCCATATTTAAAAATGAGTAATATAAAAAAGTATACATTTTTATTTTCATGAACAATTCGAAATTCGAATTCAATAAACTTTTTTGTGGCCAGCATTCTAATAGAAAAGTTTTTACTGTGTGACAATACTTATGACCTGACTAGGTATTTAAAATGTTTTATAGACCTTATGGTCTGGTTCTTTCGTCAATTCAAGGCAAGTCGCACCCTCGACGAGTCACCCTAGATAGGTCCATGACATTCGCTCCTCACATAAAATGACAGCGTCGCGTTTGACTTATCTAGACTTTACCCCATAATTTAGCGGCGGAGTAAACTATCCTTTCACAACAAGATGAAACTTTACAAAACTTACGTCAGTTTTATGGCCTTTATTGGACTTATGACCTCTATTGGAGTGTGGTATTCGCCCACGCGGCTCGCACTTTTGTCGACACCCTTCAGTCCCGTTTTTGCAGGATAGTTCTTGGAGTGCCATCCATGTTTTGGGACGAACATTGATTTTCACGATGATATAGGCCTCGAAGCCATCACCCAATACCGACCTTTAGCTGAGCTTGTCCTCGCCCATTTGTCCTAGCGACCAGTCTTCTTTAAATCCAAAAAGGCATGTAAGTCCTATACGGTTATTAAGGACGTTTTTTTTTTGTTTTCGAAGTACCTTTCTGACTGACTGTATATATCATCACTCAAAAGATTTGAGAAACTGAGGGGGCTTAAACAGGCATTACAAAATGACTTTGAAGATTTTGCTGACTACCTAACTTCTTCATGAAGGGCAATGTAAAATTATTAGTGCGCTAGAGGAGATGAACCGATACCATGGCTACATATATAAATTAATGAAAGAAAAAAACGAACTTTCTCTATAATAAAAGGCTCTTTCATAGCTGTGAACTTATTCTTTTTTGACCTAACTTATAAACACAATGCGGGTTACTTTACAAAATTGCGTAAGATTAATAATGTCCTTATGAAAATGTTATTAAAAATGAAAATAATTACGTTCGTAAATTAGATGCTCCCTATTCTGTTCTTATAATGTTAAAAAGTATTTTTCCTTTATTTGGATAATTCAACAGAGTTTGAAAAGCTTAAACGTTGTAGTATTTTTTTATTTTCGACTAATACGTCGTATCTTAGACGTGTTATCATTTTCATCCGAATTTATTATTTTTTAGGATTTATTAATGTTTCCGGCAAAAATTTTCTCACCCTAAAACCGGCTTCAGACCATTACGAATATGTAAGAAAAATTCAACCCTTTCCAACCATCGGGATTTACGCCTCTACCAATCTACACCATTTAAATATCTTTATACTGTGTAGATAGGTGAGTTTGGGGGTAAAGGTATTCACGTTGTATAACACAAATCTATGAGCCCCGGCTAACACGTAACACTACGAGTAATATATAATAAGCTGTGAATTCATTCATCCACCGTATATGTAATGTATGAACATAATATGTATGTATATATAAGTGTACAAAAATTTATATTATATAACCTGGAAACATATTATACATAATACTTGGTACACGCATTTCTCGCTATCGTGAGCTCTGAAATTAATCTGTGTAATTAAAACGCTTCGCTTTTCAATTTTATTGATATTGATCGGTTATATCTTGGATAAAAATATCGATTTTTGCTCTAAGTATGTATTGCTAGCGGGCTTTATTAAGGTAAAAGCTCCTAATACGGCGGTAGTCAAAATCGCTTCCTATTACGGTGGTATTTCTATTTTCGACATTTATTCTTGTTTTATTCAGTTTAAGCTCACCGAAACGGAATCTATTTATTCTAAATCTATTACTTCATAACATAACTGACATTTTCAAGTGTAGCATATAAACAACACTACAAGATCTATCAGTTTGTAGCACGGCATCAACGTGAGAGGAGTTTCCATACAAACGCGGAACAAAAAAATAAGTACACTAATATTTAGAAACTAAGTTTTTTGTATTAATAAGTCGTTCAACTTTGTTAATGTGTTATTTATAGCATTTTCCTACTATTATACTTACTTTTTAAATAGCTTGTTTCATATATGTAACTCATTTTTTACTCAAAAAATCAGAAACAAAATACCGCCGTAATACGGTACGAATTTTATAGATTAATCCTAATACGGTGGTATAACTCCGAAATAGGAAATATACTGGGCATATTTAATTGTTTATAACTTTCAATTTATTAAGTTATTGAATTAGTTCCAAGTTTAGTTGGAATAATTATTAATCTTGTAAATTAGAAACCATATTCTGCGGTATGTATTATTCATTAAAAATCTAGTTAAATATGAAAACTGTCGAGTGCAAAATGTTGGTTTCTTAGAAGGGGTAAAAATAGGAAGGTGTATTTTAATTAATCACAAATCATTTATTTTGTATAACTGTTGACTTGAGTTTTACACATCTGGGCCAAAAAACTGTTATCGTTTGATTAAGTATTTACATTCTTTGTTTATCGAAATTTTGATGGGTCAGAATTAGGATTAAAAAAATACGAGTAGTTTTCCTATTACGGTGGTAGTTATTTCCAGGTAACTCTGTGTTAGGTTCTATGATCTCCTATTACGGTCATATTCATAGAACATAAAATTACAAGTTTTAGGATTCCATAGAAATAATAGAAAGGTTATTTATACTTATTTTACACAAAAAGATAATACAATAAAAACAGATTTAAAGAATGTCTAAATACTATGTACAAAGGCGAGCTTAACTCTTCATGAGTTTTCTTCCAGCAAACCCTTTTCAGAGAGAAATACGATGTATAAGAGGGGAATAGTGTACAAGTGAAAGGTTATTAAAATATATTAAATACAGTGGATTTCATTAATAACGACCTCGGTTATAGCGACGTCGAACTTACGTCCCTTGAATTTAAAGCATACTTTCGTAAGAAATTCATTCGGTAAGAGCGACTTTGGATACTATAGCGTCAATTTCGGGTATAGCGATTTGTTTTTATGAACCATTTATGACAGATTCCCAGAAATCCCGTACAGATATTTCTATTGAGTCGGTAAAGGCACAAAGACTCATTCATAAAACTATTAAACTTTCTTATCTTTTGTTTACATTCACAGATGACCATCTGTGAAACATTCACAGATGGTCAAGCAAATGCTTTGTTTGTTTGTTCCTAAGCAGTCCTCAATAAATTTACCATTAAGTAATTCTATTTTGTTCATCTTAAATATGTATAGCTCTATTCAGACAGCAGTGGCAGCGGCCGCCGCATCAGCCACCGAACATTTTTATCCTTTCAAGCGATACTGATCTATAAAACAATGTAGATAAAGTTTAAAATTCTTTCAAAGCTGAAAGTGCTCTTCGCACCTTTTTTTTCTCCTACCAATGCTGATAGCCTTGGCAGGCTATTTCAGCTTCCCCTTGACGTGTAGATGATCTCATGGGGCTCAAACCGGGAGTGTTGCTAACACTGACCCTACGAAGAGCAGTGCTTCGAAGAATCTACCACTGGATCGGAAACGCGACCAACTAAGAAGATCCGGTGAGAAACTCAGTGGGCTGCGTCTATAGGTTGATTTCTTCTTCGAGTTCTTCATCGCAAGCGACGGGTTCGGCGAGGACGGTAACCGGTGCTTGAGGTACCTAAAACACCGTTAATGGATCGGGAAGATCCGTAATGACGTGCTTAGGGCGACGTCGACTGTTTACCATTCGGTCCACAAGATCGGGTAGGCCTTCGCATCGCTGTCGGCCGTTGCCACCGATGTCTGAATTGAGCCGAAAACTTCACTTACCTTAAGTTTACCATTAAGTTTAAGTCTAAAAAACCTTAGTTACTCCTTATATCATCAGCTATCTATTAGTGAAAGTCTCGTCAAAATCGGTCCAGTCGTTCCAGAGATTAGCCGGAACAAACAGACAGACAGACAAAAATTGTAAAAAATGTTATTTTGGTGTATGTACCGTATATATATTTATATGCATGTGGTAAAAAGCGGTTATTTCAATATTACAAACAGACACTCCAATTTTATTTATGTGTATACATTCGAAATTCCCTAGAATTCTCATGTTAAAATACAATCCAAATCACTTTTAAACGCGGTAAAAATGTACTCTTCTTTCCGAGCCGACCTGTGTGAATGCACTGTTATACTTACTAGGTACATTTGTATTATAAATTTCATTAAAAGTGGTCAATTAATGCAAAACTTACAATTTAACTTCTTCACATTTATATTATTTACTTAATAAATATTATATGTTCGGAACTTAATAAATATAATTTCTGACCCTCTGTATTAGGAACCGTCTACCGCAGTAATAGGCTCTGACCTCAGTCATACCTCCGTATTAGGGAAAATCGACCCGGCTATTTAAAACATTTTTTTAAATAAGTAATTTCTAGAAAAGAAACATAGACTCAACAGTAATACGAAATTTAAATTCCATTTTTGACGATGAAAATTTTTTCCATCTTTAGAAATACTTACAAATGCTTATTTTTTTTTCTTACTTTCAAATTTTGCGAAATACCTCCGTAATAGGTGCTTTTACCTTACTTGTTATCATCATCATCATCATCACCCACCGCTGCTTGAGATAGGCCTTCCCTAAGCTACGCCACAAAGCTAGTGAGCATAAAAAGTCAGGTAACTTCTTTTACTTACGTTTTTATAAACCAAGCAGCTACGATTCGGTAACTTGATTTGAAATGAGATGCTCATCAGCATCATATCCAATATCTCATCAGGGTAGTATTTTGACGAGCGAGGCAAACATATTTCGGGACCCTTTAATATCAAATGAATATTAAACATTGGACGTAAAGGAATAATTCCTGAGAGCGAAACTGAAGACTAATTAAAAAGAATAGCAAAATAAGACATAGAAAATAATATTCAATTACAAAGCATAGATATATTTTTTATTGCCGTATGGGTAGACGAGCACACGACCCACCTGATGGTGAGTGGTTACCGTCGCTCATGGACGTCAGCAATGCCAGGGACAGAGCCAAGCCACTGCCCACCGTTTAACACTCTCCACAAGCCTCGTTTGAAGAAGAACATGTCCTAGCGCTCGAGAAACCCCGTGGAGGGGAGCTCATTCCAAAGCCGGATGGTACCTGGCAAAAAATGTATCTGGAAACGCACTGTGGATGAACACAGTGGCTCTAGGTAGTATGGATGAACTCTACTTCGGGGGCGGGCAGTGCGATGGTAAAAACGAGATGATGGAATCATCTCAAACAATTCCTTAGAGCACTCCCCGTGGAACATACGGTAGAAAATACAGAGGGAACCAGAAGTTCCAAACGATCCGTGAGAATGGGATTATCGACAATCCCAACGGCTCTCTTCTGTATGGAGTCAAATGGGAGTAGCTGGTGTTTCGGAGCCCCGGCCCAGAGGTGGTAGCAGTACTCCACGCGAAGCCGAACCTGTGCTTTGTAAAGCAAAAGTCTTTGTCCAGGCGTGACGAACCGCTTCGCTCTGTTGAGGACTCCCAGCATTTTTGACGCCAATTTGGCTTTACCCTACAAATTACTCCGAAATTGGACATGGCTAGAAATGTCGACCCTAAGTATCCTAATACTGTTGGAAGCTTGCAGAGATACTCCTTAGAATTGCGGTACCATGACAAAAGGTTCCTTCTTGGCAGTGAACGTAATACTTGTAATTTTCATAAATTCAGAATTTGGAATATAACACGAAGGTAGCTGGCAGCCACCCCCGCATTTTCTCGAGTTCAAGGAACCCTTGCGTCCGTTAATTGAAAGTTGTGATAGATTCCATTCAGTAAGAAAATAGTATAATATTTTGGGGAGATATACAACAAAGGGAAGATCTTCCACCGAGCGGATGATATTGCTCGGTAGACCGACGGTCCGAATGTTGTTGTTCGGAACTTGTATATATGCGCTTTATCTTGAAAATGTCGTAAGCGAGATTCAGGCATCTGTCAATTATCTTGCGTTGTATGATGGCTACCCGCCACATCACTCCCCTCCGAGACCGGAGGTCGTGTCATTTTTAGTTATCGTTGTCCGTGCTGAGATTAGCTTGCAAGTGCCAGTGCTGCTCGAAGTTTGCGGTGAGTCGAAACTGAGCTTGAATGCTGCGTGATTGTCGCCAGTGCTGCTCGAAGTCTGCGGTGAGTCGAGACTGAGCTTGAATGCTGCGCGATGAGGCAGTGTAGGTGCGTGCCGTAGGGCCAGGAAGCGCGGTGAGTCGGCTGCGATGGTCCTGTTGAGGCTGCGATGCTGGCTTGCTGTGGGACGACTGTCGATGACTTGCTTTTATCTGCGAGAATGCGGGGATTGTGGTAGCCGAAGTTCTTGATGCGCTGATGATGAATCAGAAGGTTGCGATTGTTCCGTCGTAGGTCACCAGTTGTAGGAATATACGACAAAGGGAAGATCTTCCACCGAGCGGGTGATATTGCTCGGTAGACCGACGGTCCGAATGTTGTTGTTCGGAACTTGTATATATGCGCTTTATCTTGAAAATGTCGTAAGCGAGATTCAGGCATCTGTCAATTATCTTGCGTTGTATGATGGCTACCCGCCACATCACTCCCCTCCGAGACTGGAGGTCGTGTCATATTTAGTTATCGTTGTCCGTGCTGAGATTAGCTTGCAAGTGCCAGTGCTGCTCGAAGTTTGCGGTGAGTCGAAACTGAGCTTGAATGCTGCGTGATTGTCGCCAGTGCTGCTCGAAGTCTGCGGTGAGTCGAGACTGAGCTTGAATGCTGCGCGATGAGGCAGTGTAGGTGCGTGCCGTAGGACCAGGAAGCGCGGTGAGTCGGCTGCGATGGTCCTGTTGAGGCTGCGATGCTGGCTTGCTGTGGGACGACTGTCGATGACTTGCTTTTATCTGCGAGAATGCGGGGATTGTGGTAGCCGAAGTTCTTGATGCGCTGATGATGAATCAGAAGGTTGCGATTGTTCCGTCGTAGGTCACCAGTTGTAGGAATATACGACAAAGGGAAGATCTTCCACCGAGCGGATGATATTGCTCGGTAGACCGACGGTCCGAATGTTGTTGTTCGGAACTTGTATATATGCGCTTTATCTTGAAAATGTCGTAAGCGAGATTCAGGCATCTGTCAATTATCTTGCGTTGTATGATGGCTACCCGCCACATCACTCCCCTCCGAGACCGGAGGTCGTGTCATTTTAGTTATCGTTGTCCATGCTGAGATTAGCTTGCAAGTGCCAGTGCTGCTCGAAGTTTGCGGTGAGTCGAAACTGAGCTTGAATGCTGCGTGATTGTCGCCAGTGCTGCTCGAAGTCTGCGGTGAGTCGAGACTGAGCTTGAATGCTGCGTGATGAGGCAGTCTAGGTGCGTGCTCTAGGACCAGGAAGCGCGGTGAGTCGGCTGCGATGGTCCTGTTGAGGCTGCGATGTTGGCTTGCTGTGGGACGACTGTCGATGACTTGCTTTTATCTGCGAGAATGCGGGGATTGTGGTAGCCGAAGTTCTTGATGCGCTGATGATGAATCAGAAGGTTGCGTGTTCACATCACGTCGGGGTCACCAGTTGTAGGAATATACGACAAAGGGAAGATCTTCCACCGAGCGGGTGATATTGCTCGGTAGACCGACGGTCCGAATGTTGTTGTTCGGAACTTGTATATATGCGCTTTATCTTGAAAATGTCGTAAGCGAGATTCAGGCATCTGTCAATTATCTTGCGTTGTATGATGGCTACCCGCCACAATATTATGATAGAAATTTTCCAAAGTGGTTTTTAGTGCTTTCGTGTTTAATAATCCCTTTATTAATCCTGTTATTGTTCATCTAGGCCAGCCTTTCTCAAAGTGGGCGATAACGCACCCTTGTGGGCGCTGCAGGCTTAATGGGGGGCGGTAATAGACCCAGAAAAAAATGGGGACGTTGTGTAGAGGCTTGGGAGGCGATTTTTAATTTCATCTAGGAGGACTCTTAGATACTGACTGAGCTCTCGCTATAGTGGTTATTAAGTAGGTGAAAAAAGGGGGCGCTAAAAATAATTTATTCTCAAAGTGGGCAGTAGACAAAGAAGTTTGGGAATCACTGATCTAGGCGGTATCTAGAAATCGTCGTCGTTGCTTAAAAGATGACAGACAGGCCAAGTACACTCGTACCTGCACTATTGCCTTTTGTCAAACTCAAGCAGGCTGTAGCCAATTCTTCTAAGAAAATATATAGGTATACTTAACTATTGTTGAGGAACGACTTCCAATCAAGGAATATTAACAGAATAAAAATCAAATTTAAAAAATCTGTAAAAACACATAATTATCAGTGCTAGCCCGCACAGGTCACAATCTTCCCTATTTCTGCCCTTAAGCCTTCATGCGTTGTGGATTGAAAAATGAGACAACCATTGATTGAGACGGTATATCAACGTGAAAATTCAGTTTATTAAATGCAAAGTGAATATTATACGGTTTGAGCACATAGTTAGTAAAATTCGGTGGTTTCCCGTGTTACGTAAACAATACACGGTATGACTCGGCTTTATCCCGTTAGCACGAACAACAGTGGGACCACGACGCAACCGCTCGGGGCGGACCGCGACCCTGTCCGAGCGGTTTCAAAGTAAACATAGGCCCCAGCTAAACCGTTTGGCAGTCGCATCAGATAAACCTTTCGCGTAAATGAAAACGTTTATGTGAACACGAATATACTTATCTACTCGCATGTTTTATTTTTGCTTGACATTTTGCTATAAAAATAATTAAACAATATCGTAATAACCGGCTTCTTTACAGCTATCACATTTGCGATGCCCGTATTGACCAACTGAATCAAGAATTGCTTCGCATTAAATAAATTCTGGTCAATAAATAAAATAGATGGTACCGAGAGGTGTCAAAGCAAATGTAAAATAAAAAGACTTTGTGTCTTTTTTTGAAATCCTTTACCTACGCTTTTTTGGTAAGTATATTGGTTTTTATAATTACAAATCCTTCATCACATATAGTTATAACGGGTCTCACTTAGAAACTTATTACACAGAATAAAATTATTTATTTATTTAGCTACACTTACGTTTTGAGCACATCGTCCCCACCCGGTAACAAAGGCGTTCTTGTTTGCTATCGGTTTTTTCGGTTCAATCAACATAATTGGTTTGACTTTATTCCTGAAAATTAATTCGTTAATAACGGGGCTAGTGACAAAATGAATTAAATTAGAATAGCCTTTGTTATTATTGGATTTAGTTATTAAAAAACGCACAAGATTTTTTTAAACGTTTTCAAATTTTGATTATGTGACCTTACCTGTTTTCAATTACTCTGTTCTATGGAATATCCATTTTGGGAGAGTGTGCATTGTAGGTCACTCATGAAAGAACGCCGCGTATTTTAGAAGGAAACTCGAAAACTGTTTTTCCTTGCACTTAAAATTATTTTATGTAAGTATGTATATTAAAATAGTTTTTGGTTGTAAACAAATATCTTGTAGAATCTAAAGGTGATGATTTTAATACCATCGTCATAATGCAGGCTCTAAACAACAATATTGGTGTAGGTATGAGTTTTATTATTTCGTTATTCACGTTCTGAATATTTTTATCGTGTCTTCGTTCTGAAGCATTCTTCTCTAATTTTATGACGAAAACAAATTAAATTTGAAAAAAATATTTCTTATTTCTTTCACGACATTGAACGTTATGAAGCAAATAACAAGTAGGTAATAATATCGATATTATATTATTTACGTATTCTGTTTTTCAATTAAATTTACTGGTGGTAGGACCTCTTGTGAGTCCGCGCGGGTAGGTACCAAGACCCTGCCTTTTTTTTTGCCGTGAAGCAGTAAAGCGTTTCGGTTTGGCTTATCTTACTAACTTATATCTCTATCTTATATCTCAAGGTGGGTGACGTATTTGCGTTGTAGATGTCTATGGGCTCCAGTAACCACTTAACACCAGGTTGGCTATGAGCTCGTCCAACCATATTTTTTATTTTTTTTATTGCTTAGATGGGTGAACGATCTCACAGCCCACCTGGTGTTAAGTGGTTACTGGAGCCCATAGACATCCACAACGTAAATACGCCACCCACCTTGAGATACAAGTTCTAAGGTCTCATGTATAGTTACATGTATAGTTACTGAGCAATATATTTTAAGAAAACATCAATTGATATACGTGTAAGTTTTATAATTTTATCGATCCTTATATTATAATGGTCTAGCTGAGCTGAGCCGGTAGACACGACGACACCAATGTGTGTGCTCCTACCCCTGGATACATTATAGTCTCAATTAAATTTCCTTCAAACTACGTATATATTGGCCTTTTGAATGTAATCGCTTGAATGCTTCACGGCAGACATAATCGAGGTGTCTACCGACCAGTGCTCTGAGTAAGCCCTACCACCAGTAATAGCTCCCTGGGCTATTCTGTTATCTATCTTTTCTTTTAACACCTAAGAGGCTCTTGATTGTCGAGCAGTCACTCCTCATGTAGCGAATAACTCGAAATAAACTGCGAAGTAATCACATGTTCCAGGTAGGACAGTCATAAGTTCAAAGTTGTTTAAAAATTCCGGTAACAGTCTGAAGCTAGGTGGATAGTGAGTGTTTATGCTAATTTGCCATTGGTTCTAATGAAAAAAAAGAGAAAAACAAACATAGTAATGTCACAGATTTTCTTTCGTTCAGATACCGGGAGATCTTTTCGATCGCGATATAACCGACGTATTATTCTTCTCATTTTACACATTTTCTTTGTCGGCGGAATGAGCTCACCGAAATACAAGGTACGCGAGGTATTGAACTTTCAAAATAATAAACGTAAAAATATCAGAGCACAAAATTTATAACTATGTTTTTTTTCTCATGTTTACTGGTGGTAGGATTTCATGTGAGTCCGCACGTGTAGGTACCACCACCCTGCCTATTTCTGCCGTGAAGCAGTAATGCGTTTCGGTTTGAAGGATGAGGCAGCCGTTGTAACTATACTTGAGACCTTTTAGACAGGGACGCGCAACCCTCATTAATACACTATTCATGATATTTTATCTCCAGACAAAGCTAAGTACTCATCCGGTTTTGATTTGCTTTCGAAGCCAACACTGTAAGATGTACTTATATTAAATGGGGATATTCATAAACGTGTATTCAGGACCTGAAATTTTTCAAGGTGGGTGACAGGATTAATGTTGAGTTGTCCATGAACTGCGTTGGCCACCTAAGAACGGGAAGAAGATTCGTTTGCAAAAAAAATGAATTCCACGGGCCTTGCCACGCCATCCATCACTCAGGAGCTAATCGCAGTTTTTTTTTTAGGAATACCGGTTCTTTTTTTATTGCCGTTCTAGTGAGATACATTTGTTGATTTGAAAATGTTACTAAAATCGCTCTTGTTCAGTTAAAATAATGTGAATCTCACCTAAACTCAATGTCCCGTATAGTTGTAATGAGGGCCAAATCAGCGTTTAATGTAGTCCGATCAAAGTCTTCATGTATGACAAGAAAGAGCACGTTTATTAGGAAATGACCACGGTCTGCGTAGTTCTCGCCCGACACCACGCCAAGGTCTGTTACGGGAACGCTGAAATTGCAATTCAAAATTAGTACTGCAGTACTTATGTCGTACCACACAAGGTATACTATCGAAACCGAAAAGCCAGTTAAATTAATTCCAAATACCGTGCGCCAGGCCGCTGAAATAAAATAAAAACAAACAGCCTAACTTTAATAGACGAGATGGTTGGCGCTTATCTAACACATCGACACCTCTTGTCGTGAAGATAGAAAACCAAATCAAACAAATTACCCGACCTAAAGTTATTATTATCTTGTTGTGTGTGAAATGAAATGTAAAAGTCTAACTGCTAACTAGCACTATATTGAAATATCGAAAAATAGCACCTTAGTCATTTGTGACCAAGAAAACGGTAAAGTATTCGGAACGTTGAAAATAGTGTAATGACAATAAAACGCTAGGTTAGGCCGTAATTGTGAATTATTTTCACGGCTCGTGAAAACTGAAGACAATACTATATTTTATTTAAATAAACATTACATTTTTAAATCATTGTTGCTTGTAATATTATTATTGTCTGCCAATTTTATAGCTGAATTTCTATTTTAGTTACTAACTGTATTATTACAGGAACATCTTGAAAAATAGCAGAGTCGCTTTCATATTAAATTACTGAGTGTTCTGTCTTGTTATTTTTCGTGAAAGTTCCTTAGAATATAGTATTCTAGAAGCTTTCGTGATTCAGAAACGGCTTGTTTCCTTAATATAAAGCAAATTTGAGTGGAAGACGATGCAATTTTCAAAGGAATATCAGGTCTCTCTCGGATGTTATAACCTCGCTTCGAAGCATTACATTGTTGTACTCAAGATATTCAATTTCACAAAACGTGAGTTATTGCGCAAGATGTATGCATTTTTAATATTTCATAAACTCGATCACTGACTACGATTCTAATATAAGAATATAAGTAACCTACGATAAATTAAAACCGTAGTTTGAGTTCACACGTGAAACTCAATTAAACAAATTTAATCTACAACATCTTTACTTGATGTTTCGACGTGCTCTGTCGGAAGCTTAATTGAACCATATCTTAATTAACAATTCCCTCATACTTATAATCTTATAATAATTTGTATCATATTCATATGAATACCTACTTTATTTCTATGATTCACATCTCTCAAGAGCAACATTAAGCTTTAAAACAGAATAATTATTGCCTCAAGGACAAGATTTTATTTGCACAAAATTGAAGCCTCAGCTATATTGTAATTATAAAATTAGAACGTACGAACTCTTTGCATCAAAAATATTAGGCAGAGTGATGGTATTTAATTACCTGAACAGTTTCAATAGTAACTGTACAAAGCGTTCAGCACAAAACTTGATTACCAGTTAATTAAAAAGCTTTTTACATGTGAATCTGTGACGCGCGAACATAATTTACAATTGAATCACGACCACTGTTCCGCAGGCGATGCATTCATAATCGACCATTGCCAGCTCTGTGGAGTTCTCGTATTGTATCTCTATGACTTTTATTAACTTACTCGACAAAAGGGTGAGCCACGGATATGACTACAGTCCTCGTCAATAAACAGCCCATAGCGTAGTGAGAGTACAGCCTACGGATGCTCACAACGTACGGATGCTCATTTATTGAGACTCGAGTGCCTTTGAAAATCTGCAAACGGAATATTGGTGAAACTTGGTGATGATGATGATTTTTTACTAGTGATAGGACCTCTCTATAGGCTGTGAGCTTATCCAACCATGTACGTAAAAACAAAAAGTTCAACCGAGTCTTAAAATTATTTTCATTGTTACAGTTGTGCGTCTTCATGCGCTAATTATGATACAAATGCAGTTGTTCAGAAAGATTTGAGTACGCTGTTCGAGTCGCTTGAACACCCCTATTTATTTTAATAGAACGCTGACAACTGTGATTCCGTGGACACGATTTAAATCAATTTATCGAGAATTCTGAACACACAAGTTCTGCCACTATGTTCTCGTATAATTCACTTCCATATGAAGCATGCTCTGCTGTTCAATAACGAGTACAATCAGACGTTTTCTCTTGATTTTTCATTCACTGCGTGATCTAATGACAGGACGACTGATGTATTTACCCGAAATTAATTTCGATTCTCAGCAGATATCACTTTTTCTTATCACATATGTAGGTATGTACTAAATATGTACTCCCACAAACGACTTGTGTGATGAATGCGCAAGTGTACAATTACATCTAAGCGTATACGTATTTAGGATTTGCCTAAAATTCTAATAGTCATATGTTGTAGGTTAAATAGTGGGAATGTCGTTATAAAACAAAATGGGGACTCCGATTTTGATTTCACAGATGGAGGTATTATGGTTGTTATGACTTAAGGTTTTAGATTTAAAACGTCAAGTCGCCCAAGATTTGTTCTTGTAAAGCAACGAACTAAATAATTTTGATTTTTTTTTAATATTTACTGGCTATAGGACGTCTTGTGAGTCCGAACGGGTAGGTACCACCACCCTGCCTATTTCTGCCGTGAATCAGTAATGCATTTCGGTTTGAAGAGTGGGGCAGCCGTTGTACTGTTAAATGTGAGACCTTATAACTTATGTCTTAAGGTGGGTGGCGGCTTAAGCGTTGTAGATGTATATGGTCCAGTAACCACCTAACACTAGGTGGGCTATGAACTCGTCCACCCATCTAAGCAATTAAAAAGTAAGAAAATATCAGAAATCCCACCGGTGACTGTTTATCTTAAAGCGATAAAACTTATTGCTTCTATTTAATTAAAGAATACGAGGACCACAAATTAAGTGGCTTAATTCTGCTTCTGTGTAACAGAATGTAATTCGGAGCATTTTATTATTCAGAAAGATATATCACATCTACGTAACATGTTTGCTGTGAGCAAATGAGAAACTGAAGCGTATTCATTTGTCAATTAAGAACATCGAGAAGGAAATTGATGTCATTGTAATTGAATAAAACAATGTGTTCACTAATACTAGAGGTCCCGCAGTAGTCGAAATTCGACTATAATTAATTGGAATTGTAAGTTTATACACTATTATGATTGTATTTTATACTTCTATAATCACAGATTTCACCAAGACTACACTATAAAAAATATTAACAAAGACAAACAATATTTAATCTATTCTCAATTTGACAACAGACGTCAAGAACAAAAGTTTGACAATAAATAGTATGCATGCGTGTGTGCGTCAAATACATGGTATGTAGTGTGTGTAATGTTTTCTTTATTGATTTAATGTATCTTTTATGCATTATTTTAAAAAAATATTANACAATATTTAATCTATTCTCAATTTGACAACAGACGTCAAGAACAAAAGTTTGACAATAAATAGTATGCATGCGTGTGTGCGTCAAATACATGGTATGTAGTGTGTGTAATGTTTTCTTTATTGATTTAATGTATCTTTTATGCATTATTTTAAAAAAATATTAGCATTGTGCACTTCTTCTCTATATTCTCTATAAGTGTAGAAAAAAATTTCATACTCCTCCGTCCGCGCAATTTTCGTAAAAAGGGATACAAAGTTTTTGCTTCACGTATTAATATATAGATATTTTGAAGCAATATATATTTCATAGTTTAAAAATAAGTTTTCAAATATAGTTTTATTTATACTATTTACAATAGTCGATGCGCGTAGGAATACATAAATACGTAGTAAAGTCAATACCTCCGATCATATTAATACGTGAAGGTGGAAGATTTGCTGTTCTATGGATCTTTCAGCAACGGAAAGCATGAATCCATCCTATATAGAGGTACAATGGTACCTAATCATGAAGGTTTAATAGGGTTGGGACCAAACGAATTTGGTATGCAGAATTTAACTAATTTTTCTGGGCTATAACGCAGTCAGACACAAATCAATAGTGATACAGATAGAGTGATATAGAGTCAACATAGATAGACTGAGGATGTGAATTTTTAATACAGATTGACGTCAGGCAGTTGCCCATTCGTGAAACGATAAGCTGAATTAACACACGGGTACATTTGTCACATAATGTTTTGTAAAAAATAGCTAGAAGCGTTTCCTTTTGTGTCCAAAATTAAAATAATATCGGTCTCAGGACATTTTTAAAAACTTCTTCATATACGAATATACACGCTTTGTGAGATCATACATATTTATTTATAAAACAAACAGGAATACGCGAATGAAATACGAACAATAAATGTCCACGTTGTGGCAGTTCCTGCCAATTTACAACCCTAATCAGATTTCCACAGAGCAACTAAGCTAGCTCGTTCCAAGATTTCAAATAAAAATATAGAAAAATAAGCGATCGTACCTTCCGGTTGAGGAGCGGAATGTCTCCAGGCTTCGGATATCCTGAGTGAACTAGGAAATCTTTGTTAGTCCTCGAACTGCTGATCAAAGGCAATTCGATCGTCTGAACAATTTCCGCCCACAGGCAAACTGTAAGTCGGCGTGAACGTAAGCATTTTAGAATCGACACGTTTTTTAAATCATACTTCTTTTACAATTTATGTGGGAAACTAACCAAACATATAATATACAATTATCATATTGCACTTTTACTTACAGAAGAAAAATATTTATTGTACCCACCAAGAAGATAAGCGTCAGTTTTTGTAAATGCCAAAAAATCTATACGGCTACTTTGTTTTGATAAAGTATTCCTCAAACTATATGTTCTTATTGAAGTTTAGACCAGTGCTTTCAGTGTTGCCAGTGATGACCTATGGCACAGAGATATGCTTTTTTGGAAAGGGAGGATTACTGGCAGCCGGGAGGCTTTCCAGTTTCACCAGGGCAATTGGGCGAGCATGAGCTCAGCCAGGGGGTGGGATTTGCTAACAGCTCTTTGAGCGCCTCCGAAGAAGACCCAACAGCTCAAGGGCAGCTGCTTCGCAAATGGATCTACTACTGGAACGAAATGGCGATCTACTGAGAAGATCCGGCGAGAAACTCAACGGACTGAGGTATGGGGTATGTTACACTTTTGCGAGTTCGACGAGTACCATTACCTTTTTTTTTAACTCTAGGGAATCCGTTTACGGATACTAAGCCCCATCGAGCTCCACCACACCGGCTACACCAATTACTAGAGTACCTAAGCCTGCAGGCGTCCAATAATAGTGACACACCCACGTATGCCGTTATGGGTCATATACAACTAAAGTGACACCTTGTTGCGAAGGGATATTTTACGCCGCTTACAAATGAGATAAAGTCTGTCGAGAATAAACAGTGGCGGAATGTCATGAATACGTCCAGGATTAAACCCAGATACTTGAACTTCCTAGCCCAGGGTAGATCGGCAGATCATCTCGCAGAGAGACGGCGGATCGCGAGAGGGAGAACTCTTCTTCCCTCTCGGCACCGTGCCACCACCGCCGAGCCGGGGTTCGGAGGAAGGCGTTCGTCCAGCTCCGACCCATAGATGGTTGGACGAGCTCACAGCCCACCCGGTGTAAGATTGTTACCGGAGCCCATAGACATTTACAACGTAAATGTGCCACCCGCCTTGAACTATAAGTTCTAAGTCTCAATATAGTTACAACGGCTCCTCCACCCTTCAAACCAAAATGCATTACTGCTTCACGACAGAAATAGGCAGGGTGGTGGTACCTACCCGTGCGGACTCGCAAGAGATCCTACCACTAGTAATTACGCAAATTATAAATTGCGGGTTTGATTTTATATATATTTCAATATTAAATAAGAAAATATTTTGAAGAATCCTTATTTGTAAACCACATTTTGCACATGCAGAAAAAAGTAGGATTCTTCAAAACTTTCACGGAGGGACAGCAAGTCGTTGTTTATTTTTGTAAAATAATATTATAATAGTCGTATCATTATCGAGAACTTCACCGTTTGCAATAATACAGTCTTCCCCAGGCGTGCAGCGGTTGCATTTTGTGGAACAAGACATGCGATATTTTTTAAAACAATACCCGTTTGTGCGACATCATTCTGTAGATCGTTTTTTTTTCTTTTCAAATACGATACTCTACAATTACTGTGTAGTAATTGTTTTGTCGACTGAAAAGTAAAATATTACAGTGTTTCTTCGTTTTAATGACAAAAGATAGAATGTTCAAATTTAAAAATTACTTTATTCTCGTAAAATTTTACATAAAATTTAATCTTTTCGGGTAGGTATATTATATATAGGAACCTGGGAGAAGTAACGTACGCCGGTATATAGAACACATTTGAGACTACAACCTCATGTCTCAAGGTTGGTGGTGGCATTCACGACATCCTTTTTTTTTTTTTTTATGATTGAAAGTTTACTGGTGGCCCGAAGGCCTTTCCAGTTTCACCAGGACAGGTGGGCGAGCAAAGGCTCAGCCAAGAGGGGTGGGATTTGCTAACAACTGCCCGAGCGCCTCCGAAGGAGACCTAACAACTCAAGAGCAATTGTTTCGCGAATGAATCTACTACCGGATCGGAATCGCGACCCGCTGAGAAGATCCGGCGAGAAACTCAGCGGGCTGATGCATGGGTTAGGTTGCACGTCGACCTCTTTGTCGAGTTCGACGAGTACGGTTACCGGGGTCCCTAAGCCTGCCCCTAGTATTAGAG